AAATGCAGGCCCAAAAGCAAAAACAAGACAAAACGCATGAAGACCTGCAGTGTACGCTCCGCGACATCCAGAAAAAGAAATGAGCAGCTAGAAGGCCTGCACAAAGAAGATCAAGTGAGAAATGCAGACCTGCAGAAGGCAAAGCTGACACAGGAGGCAACATCCAAAGACCTCAAAGAAAAGCTTGAAGAAACACAAGCAACATTGGAACAGGTGAACAAACATGCAAGAAACTTGAGAGGCAAAACACAGAAAACCATCGATGAGTTGAGAACCCTCATCCTGGACAAAAAGGCGCTCGTGGAAAAGTCCATGAAAAAGAAGAAAAGATTCTTCAGCTTTTTCGGAAGAGGGACAATACTGCTTCTTCAACTGATGTAGCCTCGTCTTGCTCCACCTCTGTTCACCCCCCCAACCAGTCCCGGCAGTTGACTGCCCCCTCCTGAGCCTGGTTCTGCCGGAGGTTTCTGCCCGTTTAAAGGCAGTTTTTCCTCCCCACTGTCGGCCTAGTGCTTGCTCAGAGGGGATTGTTGGGGTTTCTCTCCTCTACCTTCTTTCGTTATTTACTGTTAACTTTTTGCTCTTACCTCATTTAACCTTGTTTCGTTATTTACTTGTTAACTTTTTGACTTACTTCATTTAACCTGTTCGTTATTTACTTGTTAACTTTTTGAACTTACCTCATTTAACCTGTTTCGTATTACTGTTAACTTTTTGAACTTACCTCATTTAACCTTGTTTCGTTATTTACTTGTTAACCTTTTGAACTTATCTCATTTAACCTTGTTTCGTTATTTACTTGTTAACCTTTTGAACTTATCTCATTAACCTTGTTTCGTTATTTACTTGTTAACTTTTAAACTTACCTCATTTAACCTTGTTTCGTTATTTACTTGTTAACCTTTTTGAACTTATCTCATTAACCTTGTTTCGTTATTTACTTGTTAACCTTTTGAACTTACCTCATTTAACCTTGTTTCGTATTACTTGTTAACTTTTTGAACTTACCTCATTTAACCTTGTTTCGTTATTTACTTGTTAACTTTTGAACTTACCTCATTTAACCTTGTTCGTTATTACTTGTTAACCTTTTGAACTTATCTCATTTAACCTTGTTTCGTTATTTACTTGTTAACTTTTTGAACTTACTTCATTTAACCTTGTTTCGTTATTTACTTGTTAACTTTTTGAACTTACCTCATTTAAACCTTGTTTCGTTATTTACTTGTTAACTTTTGAACTTACCTCATTTAACCTTGTTTCGTTATTTACTTGTTAACTTTTTGAACTTACTTCATTTAACCTTGTTTCGTTATTTACTTGTTAACTTTTTGAACTTACCTCATTTAACCTTGTTTCGTTATTTACTTGTTAACTTTTGCTCTTACTTCGTTTTACCTTGTTTCGTTATTTACTTGCTTGTTTAACTTTTTTTCAACTTATCTAACAAAATAAAACAGTTGAATTTATCCTTGAGTATTGTTCATCTAATCTTTACAGAGTTTTTCCAAAACACTTTCAAACATTCAGATCTGTCTTTCATTTTCTTCTTGAAACCTCATGAACGGTGAACTAAAAACTCTGGAACATGGTTTGAAACACTGAAATTGTTTCAGCTGAAACTGACAAAGTCATACGTTGCGTGGTGTGAGTGTCACAGGTGATATGGTGTCACTAGTCCGGTCATCATGTTTAGGCTCATTCACTCCAGAATTATTTAGGCCAAATCTTTAAAACAGTGTCACTGCACACACATTTCAATCACACAAACGCAGGATTAATTTTTGCAGTATTTTATCTGATTTATTATGAGAATGTGATGCCTGATCATTTGCACCCACAACATCAAAAGTGGGGGCAAAAGGGAGGAGACACGTTTAATCGATTATAACACGAGGTCAGAAATATAAGTGCTGACATGAGTAGTGTCCACAGAAACCTCTGAATCTCAGCTAAAAGCTCATGTAAACCATGTCTACAAAACACCAAACAAAGCAAAGACACCAGACAGTTAAAAGAGCAGTTACGTCACCATGAATCTGTGGACAGTAATATCCATATTTTGATTTATGATTTTCTGGAGTTAAATGGAACCAAAGCATATTTTCAAAGTGTTATATGCTATAAAATACTTTAAAAATTAGGTGAGGGAAATAAAAAAAATCTATTTTTCTATGTTTGAGTCACAGTAACTTTGACACAGTAACATCTGCAGTAATTATTTACAGCTCTGATGACATCTCACCAGCAATGTTGCCTCTAATTTTTCACGTGTCTGAGCGAACACACAAACTCCCTGAGCGGTCCCTTGGACCACTGTGAGCAACAGCAGACGTGTGCACTGTGGTCACGCCAGCATCAAATCCATCCAAGTTACATGGTTATTAAAATAATCAAATACAGCGTTTACATTTATGTTAGACTACTTTTAATTAACTGCTTTAGCCCACTTACAATGAAAAATTTAAAAAAATCTTGTTCATGACCTGTGTAGGATGTTAACAACTATTGGAAGTAAAAATAACTTGAACTCCAATTTGAAAACACAACTTTCTTTTTTTTTTTATAAAGCTCTGACTTGTATTATGAGTCTTGGTCTGGAGAGAGTCCTGTAGCTCTCCGTCTGCAAAATACAGTAAATAACGACCAATGCTGGGCAATTAATTATATAGTTACTTCTTCAAAAAAGTTACTGAGTTTTGCAAACAAAGTTTTTGCAGCTGTTTTGCTAGCTGCACAGGGGCTCAGAGGAAAGCACTCCAAGGATCATTAACACCGCCCAAAAGATCACTGGCTGCCCTCTCCCCACACTGTAAGTTCTACACAACGCCCACTGTTTAAAAAGGCCCAAAACATCATAAAAGACACCTCACATCCTGGCCACTCCCTGTTCGAACTGTGCCCTCAGGCAGACGGTACAGGGCAATCAGAGCAAGGACTAATAGACTCAAACACAGTTGTTATCCAACTGCAATAACACATCTGAATACTACAAAAAAATGTCCATCACGCCACTCTTGTGTTAATCTATGCACGGTCTGAAGCATGTGTGTGGGAATGTATGTGAATGTTTTACTGTTACATCTTATTAGTATTTTAAGTATTCTATCTATTTTATTTATTGAATTTTATTGTTTTATTTATATTTTGATATTGCTAGGGAAGATGCAATGATCGGGGACCATTCTTCATTTCGTTGTTCTCGTGACAATGACAATAAAGTTTCTGATTCTGATCTGATTCTGATTCTTTTACCTAAAAATGCAGCCAGGGCGTTTTTTAAAAATAAATAAATAAATAAAATAAACATTTCAAACTATTTACAGAACAATCAGCTGTTCTGCATCAAATCTGATGCCACACAAATTATTTGTGCCACTCCAAAAAAATAATTTCTGTCCACTATGAGATAAAGAAGAACAACAGCCTGATATCTGCAGGCCTGACAACAGGAGATGTATCACTGCTGTAACACCTGTAACATTCAGCAGTCGCCTCATTGTTCTGACACACACAACAAAACTATTGACTACACTACACACTAACTACACAAGATTGCGCTAAACGTCGCAAATCTCTCACATCTCAAAACACCGCCGTCACTCCTAAAACTTACCCTCCCTAAACCACTAAATGCCATGTTGCCATATCATTTTTTGATTGGTCGACATGGTACATTTTTCGATCAATAGGAAAGGGTGGGGTTTTTGGTTTTCTTTTTGCTCACAGCGGAGAGTGCTTTCCAGCGTTTCCGTATAAAACGACGTTTTACAGTTCTTCCCGCAATAAATATAAAACCAAACATTGCATATATTCTTTTTATCATAACTCTGGTTTTACGTGGCCTATCAACACAATTTAAAAACTGGTATAAGTCCACACTTTCCCGTTAATTCTTCCGTCTGTCCTGCTCACATCTCCAATGGTTGTACACGTTGTCATTAAGTCAGCGTCTGATCACCTGACTGCACACTGTGGTTAAAGCCGCATCCACTAAAAAAACAACAGAAAAACCCAATCAGACTAAAGTTGTTTGTAGTGTAACTGGGCATTACGGTAAAGGGAGGAACTAATTTGGTTCAGTTCATAGATAGTTAAATATAACATCCAAAGGTTTGGACACACTTTCTCATTTAACGGTTTTTCTTACTTTATTTGTTTTTACTACTTTCTACATTGTAGATACAAACTAAAGACATCAAATATATGAAGCAAGATATATGGAATTATGCATAAAAGAAACAACTGATAAATAAATACGTTTTATATTTAAATTCCACAAAGTAGCCGCCCTTTGTTTTGTTGCCAGCGCTGCAAACCCTCGGTCTTCTCTCACTGAGCTTCATGATGGAGTCACCTGAAATGGTTTTCACTTCACAGGTGTGCCTGTCAGGTTTAATTTGTGGAATTTCTTGTCTTCTTAGTGGGGCTGGGACCATCAGTTGTGCTGGGCAGAAATCAGGTTGGTACACAGCTGACAGACCTATTTGACAACTGTTAAATTTATATTATGGCAAGAACCAATCAGCTAAGTAAAGGGAAACAAAGGCCATCATCACTTTAAGAACTGAAAGTCAGTGAGATGGAAAATTGCTAACACTTTGAATGTGTCCCCAAGTGCAGTGGTAAAAACCCATCAAGTGCTATGACGAAACTGGCTCACATGACCAAGAGTCACCACTGCTGCTGAGGATAAATTCATCTAAGTCACCAGACCAGAAATCCCAAGTTGAAAGCACCTCAGATTAGTTTTTAATGTCTGAGTGAAAGTGAAATTGTTTTGCGGCAGGTGCTTCTTATTTGAAAGTCTTCTCTTACTGTCACTAGGCATTAAGCTTCCTTTGAGTCAAACACAGCGAGTGAGGATATGTTAACCTGGGTCCCTACCTCAGAGTCGGAGTGAAAAGTCACATATTTAACTTAAAAACCCAGAAGTCATGGCTTTGATGAAAATTTGGTGAAGGACATGGAAATGGGGACGACGGTTACATATTATGTACTAGTTATAATATAAGTGATCAAAATGTGTGCTAATACATGCTTGTCCAATTACATCCCAATGTTTGGACACTCATTACATCAAACGGTGCACTGCATCCTGATGTTTTGATCAAGTCCCTCATGGAAAACACAAAGGCCAGTTTTCTTTGTGGATTGACTGACACTTTGTATTTGTTCAACAATAACATTCGTCTTCACAATTACAAATTGCCAAACAATTATGCACGGACGTCTTCCACTGCTGGAGCTTGATGTGACAAATTCATTTTGCAGTTTCATATTTACAGGAGCTTAGGATGTCTATGTTTTAAGTTTCCAAAAAAAGACAAACAGTCAGTCATGAACTAGTTTATTTAACAGCTGAACTCATTAAAGCATAAATATTTGTCTCAACTCAACACTCTTTGAGTGGCAGGGGCTTCAAACAGAAAACTACTATACATGTACTCACATACTCATTCACTTACAGCTAGCATAATAAAATAAAATACAAATATATATAAAGTGTATATATTTTGTAAACTAGGCCACCATTTATGAATAGCGTAGCCTTTAGTTCGTATAGGTAGCACTTCCACTGGGTCTGCCTAATTGGCTGTTGGTCAGTACAGCATACAGCCAACACATGGTTACTTTTAAGACACTGCAGCATTACCTTTCACTGTAGAAATACAGAAACATTTACACACAGCCACACAATGACATTCTGTGTCACCGCCTTATGCATGATATGCAATAACTGAGCAAGGAGTGCGAAACACACCAGTCGTGCCAATAATAAAGGCATGAAACGGTCAGACACTGACATTAAGAATAAAGTAAATGTCATCCGTTCACTTTTTTGCTGTTATAAGCAAGTGTAGGCCCATAATCTGCTAGAAAGTGATGACTTAAGCAGACATGTTGCTGGAGTAAATCAGCTCCCGAGAGCAGCCCACATTCTGAAGATCACAACCAGACAGTCCAGTGTGTGGGACTGCAGCTCTACCAGAGAAACACACAAATTGTTTAGCACATTGCTTTATACATCAGGGCAACTGGCTTCTTCATGTTTATTCTAGTACTATGCACACACACTTGAATCAGTACGATGAACACCTGTCCACACTGCATCTCTCTCGCTTCCAAGCTGAAGTCATGTGTTTGTAGGGTTAGTAGTGTTTTATCATCCTAACAATGATACACACAGATATGAATTCTATGTTGTCAGGCCCAACATATTCAACATTACATACATTTTAAGACTTATAACAAACAGGTTTAAAAACTAAATTGTTAAACATGTTAAAACGTTTTTATTTAGCATTCTTCCCTGTTTGTTTCAAACATTTTATATAATAGTGGAATTTGTACGTTCTTTGACTTTTTTTTTTTTGCTCCTTGCCCTTTTGCCTATCCATTAGTTAGCAAGTGCAATTAGTGCCCTTTAGCACGTCTATGTAGATGCTGCTATAAATAAATATAGACTCAGTATCATCTTCATACTTATTTAGCTACATAGCCAGGGATGCAACCCTCTAAATTACCAGTATAGCCTATAGTTAGGTAGGTGCTTGTGTTATTTTACAACCTATCATCTGTACAGAGATTTGAACTTGTTCTCTTTCAAACCTCACGCAATATCTTAACACTTACATTAAGAACCAGTACAGCAGGAGCTAATCTCAGTGGGTTAATTCAGTCACTTCCACGGCTTTACTCATTATTGCCAAGGAGAGAGAAATGTTTTCATTGCTGTTTTCTGTATGTTGACAGGATTGATGTCACTGACTTAATTGACAAAATAAAAGAATAATACGAAGCAAAAATTGCATGTACTTAAATAAAAATCTAATAGAAAACTGAATATACAGAATTATAACATATATATTTTAAACAATTTAGCATTATCCAATTTGATTCACTGTTTACATTTGAAACATTTTGGGCTTCTGTATAACTGAAGGTATGTTAAAGCCAAAAATAAAATTCTGCCACCATTATCATGAGTACTGTGAAAACAGCAAAAGCACTAAATAACATTTTCACACCGTTTCAGTCAATCATCTTGACTTCTCTGTAAAAATAAATAAATGAATACAGTAGTAAATACATTTAAAGTAAAAAAGGAATGCTATCCTATAGTGTTCAGGTGGATTTATGCGTGTAACACAAGGCACTCTTGAGATGATCATATAATACAGACATCAGTCAGGTGGAGAGTGCCGCCTGGGCGCCGTACCACTTATTTTATGGAGTGTTTATATAAAATGGAAACATGGCTTTCATTTATAATTATCAATTTCCATTACAGTTTGAGAGGTGAAGCTTTTGAGAAACCAAACAGCGCTCTGGGACATGTTAGCAAATAAGATCAGTGTGATAACACAACATTCAGTTTCAACTTCAGCTGAGAGGAAGTCAATAAAGGTTTTGCTTTAAGCATTTTTCAATTTGAAAAACTAATGCAGAGGTGTCTGTTGTTTTGGATTTGCATTATGAGTGCAAACCTTTTCACTGCATGGCATTACTACTTTGTGGCTCAACAATGCTAATTTCTTGGGTCAGTGACTCTCCCTGTAGCAGTGTTTTGTTTGCTGTGGTGACCTTCTTTCTCTCAGAACAGAATTCTGCACAATACGTCTGTTATGGTCAGATCATGTTGTATCTGCCGAAATTAAAACAAAACTGAATACAAAAAACAAACGATTCCATCTCACTGTTTATGACCATAGACTGAATGTAACAGAGCTCTTTATCCAGCGTGTCGAAAAGTCCCTAGATGATCGTTCTGTTATTGTTTCATTGCCTTTTTTTCCTATTTTTCTGTGAAATTCCTCTGCAAACTTATATGAGAGTCCTTATTAGGGCCATTCTACATTTAAAAAACAAAAGCAGACGTAAATGACAGTGGATAATGATTTTAAATGGAAAAAACCTGGACTGACAAGTATGCAAGAAAAAAAAAACTTGGATATTCTCAATGATTGTAGTGGTAAAGAAAGAAAGAAAAAAATTTACACACATCAAAAATAATCAGACCAAATTATGGTCTGTTTTTTCCCTCTTTGTTGTCAAGAAACCACATCAATCATACAAAAGATACTGTGGGGTGACATATGGACACAGCTTCTTGGTCTGAAAAGTGAAGTCAGTGCTAAAGTGCCTTAAACCTGCTTTCTTTTTAATGCCTTTTCCTTCATTCTTCTGGCTGCAAAGACTTATTTACAGGTCTTTGGGAAAACGGCCTTCAGCACCCTTTTTATGTGACCCCAGTGAACACTTTCCTTTATGGGCTTCAGGTCATATTGAACGCAACATGAAGTTTACCTTACCTTGTAAATAACGATTGTTCTAAGTTTCAAAACACCAAGATGCCAATGGAAAAAAAATACTCTCAGCTCAGGGATCAGAATGAGACTTCACTAACCAATGGCACAAGTCGCAGTTTCACTGTCTGAGTTGGTTTCCTCGATTTGCAGCAATAACTTTTCATAGGACATCGATAATAACTATTTTAAGCCTATTTTAATACTTATTACTTTAATCTCAGGCATAGTGAACACTTCCCTTGGTTCTGTAATTAGTATTTGCTAGAATGGCCCTAATCACTTTGGATCACGTTAATCCTTTATTTCATTATATACTGATTTTAGCTTAAAGTAAACCAGTTTCTCTTGTTTGTATCATCTCCGTTTTAATGCAGCCAAATCGACCATTTATCTACCGTTTTAAATCCAGTTACAGCTTCACAGACAAAGCTGATAGTGTATGATATCATATGCTGACAGCAATATGATGATATAGTGTCATGACTGAGCAAAGCCCACCAGGATCAAGATTCTTCCTTTCCAGAGACGCAGGACTGTTCCTTTCACAGTACTCAGCAGCAGGCACATGTTCCAGTTCTAGCAGTAATTCAGAGTCATGTAACCACTTGTTAAACTGAGACTCACAGGTGCTGAAACACCACCGAGCTGCTAAAAGAAAGCTTAAGAGAACAACTAACAGACATGACTTCAGTCAAGTTTTTTCTCTCTTCAAATCACACATCTCAGCTTTGTCCTTCATTTTCTGCACTAAAATATGTTGAACTGTAGCTGGTCATTTGAGACCACAAACAAACAAACAAAAAAACCTTTGGCCACTTATTTTCTTCTGTCTGCCTCCCTGGTCACTTTGACTGGACTCCCAGCGTGATCTTCAGGTACTCGTAGACCACGTAGCTGATGCTGACAGATGGGATGACCTTCATGAAGTTGGGTGCCAGGCCTCGGTAGAGTCCTATTGCTCCCTCAGTCCTAATAATGTGTCTGAACAGTCCTGTCATGTTCATCTGAGGACCTCCTCCCAGAGAAGCTGTAGGAACAAAGGGAAGATGATGCCATCAAACAACACATCAAACACATCTTTTTACTTTTGTCCTTTACACCTCAAACCAGTATTTGTATCAATAAATCCTGAATATGTGCCTACAGCACTTTTACAAATTCTTTATTCTACATTTAGTGGTAACTGCTCCAAAATTCTGCTATGGATAAAAATTTTGGTGACTGTTAAGTTGTCTACGTTGAATAAATACAAATGGAGAACAAAACATTGCATTCAGAGGGGATGATGAATACAAAAATTAAAAGATTTGGGGTAATATTTTTAATAATACGCTATGAGAAGAAAACTTTAATCATTCACAAATCATCGTTAATCGCAGAAACCCAACAGTTCTTGTAGCAGCCTTAGGCCTTAACCTTAGGCTGTCAATCCCCATAGACTCTCACTTTAAAACCTCCAACTTTACAGCATTAAACCTGGTAATAACCATGTGGACCCTCTTCAAAACAGCTGTACAAAGTTGTGTGTGCATGTGTGTGTGTGTATATATCTTTGTTGTCTTATGCAGTGCTGTTGAGCTCTCCAGTGACTGACCTTGTGCCTGCATTCGAGTCCTGACCAGAGCGAGTGGGTAGCTGGCCAACTGTCCACATGTGCTGGAAGTAGTGCCACAAGCGAGTAGCACAAACACTCCTGGATCAGCACTATCTGTAGCGTAGTTCTGCAACCACGAATTCTTCAGAGTCTGTCATAGGAGAGGTGAACATAGAGGTTAGACTTAACTAATAAACCCCCCCAAAAAAACAAAAAACTATCACCCAGCAATAGTAGCAAACCTCATACACAGCCAGGTCGATGCCAGCATAGGGAATGATGCCCAGCATGTTTGGGATGTAGCCCTTGTAGAAAGCTGCCACGCCTTCCCTCTGGAAGATATGTTTAGCACAATCTTGGAGGCCCGAGTATTGACCCGTCTTCCTCAGGGCTAACCGTGTCTTCAGGACCTGAATGCACAGGAAGTAATGCCACACCTTGTAAAAAACAGAAAATCTGCACTTCTCACCCAGGAATCAGTTGTACTTACAATAACATAACAAGCCAGAGGAAAAATAAAATTAACATTTTTCAAATTCATGTTATGAACCTCATTCCCATATACAGTGGGGCAAAAAAGTATTTAGTCAGCCACTGATTGTGCAAGTTCCCCCACTTAAAATGATGACAGAGGTCAGTAATTTGCACCAGAGGTACACTTCAACTGTGAGAGACAGAATGTGAAAAAAAAATCCATGAATCCACATGGTAGGATTTGTAAAGAATTCATTCGTCAATTAGGGTGGAAAATAAGTATTTGGTCACCTCAAACAAGGAAAATCTCTGGCTCTCACAGACCTGTAACGTCTTCTGTAAGAAGCTTTTCTGTCCCCCACTCGTTACCTGTATGAATGGCACCTGTTTGAACTCATCATCTGTATAAAAGACACCTGTCCACAGCCTCAAACAGTCAAACTCCAAACTCCGCCATGGCCAAGACCAAAGAGCTTTCGAAGGACACCAGGAAAAGTATTGTAGACCTGCACCAGACTGGGAAGAGTGAATCTACAATAGGCAAGCAGCTTGGTGTGAAAAAATCAACTGTGGGAGCAATCATCAGAAAATGGAAGACATACAAGACCACTGATAATCTCCCTCGATCTGGGGCTCCACGCAAGATCTCATCCCGTGGGGTCAAAATGATCATGAGAACGGTGAGCAAAGATCCCAGAACCACACGGGGGACCTGGTGAATGACCTGCAGAGAGCTGGGACCAAAGTAACAAAGGTCACCATCAGTAACACACTACAACGGCAGGGAATCAAATCCCGCAGTGCCAGACGTGTTCCGCTGCTGAAGCCAGTGCATGTCCAGGCCCGTCTGAAGTTTGCCAGAGAGCACATGGATGATACAGCAGAGGATTGGGAGAATGTCATGTGGTCAGATGAAACCAAAGTAGAACTTTTTGGTATAAACTCAACTCGTCGTGTTTGGAGGAAGAAGAATACTGAGTTGCATCCCAAGAACACCATACCTACTGTGAAGCATGGGGGTGGAAACATCATGCTATGGGGCTGTTTTTCTGCCAAGGGGACAGGACGACTGATCCGTGTTAAGGACAGAATGAATGGGGCCATGTATCGTGAGATTTTGAGCCAAAACCTCCTTCCATCAGTGAGAACTTTGAAGATGAAACGAGGCTGGGTCTTCCAACATGACAATGATCCAAAACACACCGCCCGGGCAACAAAGGAGTGGCTCCGTAAGAAGCATTTGAAAGTCCTGGAGTGGCCTAGCCAGTCTCCAGACCTCAACCCCATAGAAAATCTGTGGCGGGAGTTGAAAGTCCGTGTTGCTCGGCGACAGCCCTAAAACATCACTGTTCTCGAGAAGATCTGCATGGAGGAATGGGCCAAAATACCAGCTACTGTGTGTGCAAACCTGGTAAAGACCTATAGTAAACGTTTGACCTCTGTTATTGCCAACAAAGGTTATGTTACAAAGTATTGAGTTGTATTTTTGTTATTGACCAAATACTTATTTTCCACCCTGATTTACGAATAAATTCTTTACAAATCCTACCATGTGAATTCATGGATTTTTTTTTTCACATTCTGTCTCTCACAGTTGAAGTGTACCTCTGGTGCAAATTACTGACCTCTGTCATCATTTTAAGTGGGGGAACTTGCACAATCGGTGGCTGACTAAATACTTTTTTGCCCCACTGTACCACATATTCACACTGAAGGTCATCAGTCACAAGACAAGGAGGTTCTGAGACATGCTATATGGATGAAACTATTGGGCCACACATCGTAATCTTTAATTTCAGGTGTTTTGAGCCCCATTGCAGATGCATAAAGCCAAGGAACTGACTGTGCAATTTGCCTTTACAAAGAATTTGTGAAAGATAAAGAGTTGACTGAAATAACAGGATGCCAGTGTTGGAACGAGTTAGTTGAAATTTCTTCCCTTCTAGATCAAGAGTAAGTGGTATTGTTGAAACCTGGAAGTGTTTAGGAACTACAACAAATAAGTCAGACCATGTAAAGTTCCAGAATGTGGCTGCAGAGTGTCACCAACACTCTGAATGAAGAACCACATTTCCAAACCTCTTCTGGAAGAACAAAAACAGCACCAGGAGCTTCCATGGCGAGAACAAAATGGCGCCGGTGAGGTCGGCTGCCGTGCTGGATGCTCTGCCCTAACTTCTCCACTTTTTCGTCACTTTTTGCTATATCTGCGATAATCTTGCATGGGCATCATGCAAAACACACAAATCCGCTACAGTAGAGACACTTTGGTTTCTATTGGTCTGCAATACACGAACATTTCACCATGTTTAACTCTGGACCCAACCTGGCCAAAGGAGATCCTGAGAGAGAACAAAGGGCGCGACCCTAAGCGACGGCCTCGAGGTAAAAGAGCCGGCATCAGGAACAGGCTACGGGCTCGCGCACACCGCGCACCCATGCCCAGTATCCTGCTAGCCAATGTTCAATCCATCGAGAACAAGCTTGATGACCTCAGAGCCAGAATCAAGTTCCAGAGAGACATTCGGGACTGCAACCTCCTCTGCTTCACCGAGACTTGGCTGAACCCAGCGATACCAGACCACGCCGTGCAGCCGACGGGGTTCTTTTCGGTTTACCGCATGGACAGGACAATGGAGTCGGGGAAGAAAAGAGGTGGTGGAGTGTGTTTGATGGTGAACAACAGATGGTGCGACAGCACAAACATCTCCCCACTCACACGCTCTTGCTCGCCCAATCTGGAGCTTTTGATCGTTAAGTGTCGCCCTTTCTATCTCCCTCGGGAATTCACTGCGGTCATTGCCTGCACTGTTTACATTCCGCCTCACGCGGACTCGGACACTGCCTTATGTGAGCTACATGAGGCTCTCACACATCAACAAACACTTCACCGAGATGCCGCACTCATTGTTATGGGAGATTTTAACAGAGTGAATCTCAAACGGACATTTCACAACCTTCACCAGCACATCAACTGCCCCACCCGGGGCACGAGGACATTAGACCACTGCTACACCCCGTTCAAGAACTGTTACAAGGCTCAACCCCTGCCGGCATTTGGAAAATCGGACCATTCCGCCATCTTCCTCATACCTGCTTACAAACAAAGGCTAAAGCAGCAACCACCAATCAGGAGGGAGGTCGCTCGCTGGACGGACCAATCGGTGGCCGCTCTGCAGGACGCACTGGATGACGCAGAATGGGACATGTTTCGGCGCAGCTCTGATGACATCAACATGTTTACGGAAGCGGTTGTGGGATTTATCGGGAAACTAGCGGACGACACAGCAGAAAGAACTATCATCCGAACGTTTCCCAACCAGAAGCCGTGGGTGGATAAAAACATCCGCGACGCTCTGAGATCACGCACCGCTGCCTACAATGAAGGGCTTGTCTCCGGTAATATGGACCTATACAAGGCTGCGTCCTACAACGTGCGCAGCGCGGTCCGAAAGGCAAAGCGGAGCTACGGGGAAAAACTAGAGTCACAGCTACGACAGTGCGACTCTAGGAGCCTGTGGAAAGGACTGCGGACTATAACGGACTATAAACGACCAGCTTCTTCAATGATGAATGCCGATGCTTCACTGGCTGATGAGCTGAACACGTTTTATGCTCGCTTCGATGCCGCAGCAATTAAAACAACAAACGGCTGCGCGCGCTTGGAGTGCACCAGTGAAGAAAATGCATTCGTCATCACAGAGCATGCCGTGAGGAACACCTTCAGGAGGCTGAACACCAGGAAGGCATCAGGACCAGATGCAATCCCTGGCCGGGTCCTTAGAGCCTGCGCTGATCAACTAGCACCGGTGTTCACGGAGATCTTCAACCTCTCCCTGGCCCAAGCTGTGGTTCCCACGTGCTTCAAACAGTCCATTATTGTCCCTGTTCCAAAGAAACAACAGCCCGCTTGCCACAATGACTACCGTCCAGTAGCACTGACTTCAATTGTGATGAAGTGTTTTGAAAGACTGATGAGAGATCACATCACTTCTTCACTTCCTCCCACCATCGACTCACTTTAGTTTGCTTACCGGACTAATCGTTCCACAGACGATGCCATATCTCACCTGCTCCACACATCCCTGAGTCACCTGGACACTGGCAGAGGGAATTATGTTAGGATGCTGTTCGTGGACTACAGTTCAGCATTCAACACAATAATTCCCTCTAAGCTTTTCACCAAGTTGACGGATCTAGGACTCAGCTCATCACTGTGTCAGTGGATCCTCAACTTCCTCACAGACAGACCCCAATCAGTGAGGGTAGGAAAACAAGTCTCCCCCTCCATCTCACTCAGCACTGGAGTGCCTCAGGGCTGTGTTTTAAGCCCCCTGCTGTACTCACTGTACACTTATGACTGTGTTGCCACATCCGACACCACCTCCATTGTCAAGTTTGCTGACGACACTGCTGTTGTGGGCCTGATCTCCGACAACATCGAGACGGCCTACCTGGAGGAGATTAGGAACCTGGAGACCTGGTGCCAGGAGAATAACCTCCTCCTAAACATCAGCAAGACTAAGGAGCTGATCGTGGACTTCACTACAAAGCAGGCGAGGAATTACAAACCCTCATCATCAGTGGCACGCCAGTGGAGAGAGTGGACAGTTTCCGATACCTGGGTGTCCACATCACTCAGGACCTGTCATGGTCCTGTCACATCAACACCCTGGTTAAGAAAGCCCGTCAGCATCTCTTCTTCCTCAGAAGACTTAGAGACTTCCATCTGCCACTGAAGATGCTCAAGAACTTCTACTCCTGCACCATCGAGAGCGTCCTGACGTCAAACATCTGCACCTGGTTTGGGAACAGCACCAAGCAGGACAGACGAGATCTGCAAAGGGTGGTGCGCTCGGCAGAACGCATCATTCAATCAGAGCTCCCTGACCTGCTGTCCATCTACACCAAGCGGTGCAAGTCCAAAGCTAGGAAGATTATGATGGACCTCTCCCATCCCAACAATGGACTCTTCTCACTGTTGAGGTCTGGGAAGCGCTTCCGCTCCCTTAAGGCCAAAACAGAGAGAATGAAGAGGAGCTTCTTCCCCCAGGCTATTCGGGGCCTGAACCAGGTGTAGGACTGGACTCTCCCAAACACGTCACTATAAGACTGGACTCTCACACACGTCACCACACGCACCACCACACATTTCCTATAATCCTATAATTCCTATAATTTATAATCCTTATCTTTATAATCTCTTCTGCTATTTGCACATTCTTTACTGTAAATTCCTAAGTTAATTTGTAAATTTTTGTAGTAAATTGTAAATATTGTAAAACTTTCTTCTGTCATTTAATGGTCGGGCATTGTACAGCTACAAGCATTTCACCCCCATGTCATACTGTGTATGGTTGTGTGTGTGTGACAAATAAAATTTGAATTTGAATTTGAATTTGAAATGGCAGAGCAGTCCAGTGTATTTCAGCATACAGTAAGTTATAAGTTGCTGCCTAGCTACAGCTATTGTTAAACTGATGTCTTGCTTTATTTTTTGTGTTCATTGTTCTCTCACCTCCATGGGGTATATGCTGCTCTGAGCGATCGCTCCAGCCAGAGAGCCGGCCAACAGTCTCTCTGTGATGCCCAACGTCTCCTGGTTACTTCCCATCAGTCGCTTAATCTGATGGACAGATGTCAGTGTTGTTTAGCAGCAACATAAAAGTCAGACCAAACAAATTCACTCTGCTATGAGCTATGCAAAAAAATACAAATTACATATTTTTATCTTTCATATTCCATTAACGCTTGGTTTTGTGTACCTGTTCATAAGCCACAAACTTTATTGCAGACTCAGGGGCAATTTTGAGGACGTTGATCCCGTTGCCTCGCCACAGAGACCGTACACCACCCTCTCGGATCATCTGAGAAAAGCCACCAGCGATGCGCATACTGTTGCTCTTGGAGGAGTGAACCTGGGCGAGTGCGATGAAATGCTTATTAGCCGTCTTCTCCTTTAACTGAGAAAAATGAAAACTGCAATAGTTGTGTTTTACCTGCATGAGAACTTTCAGACGGTCCAGTGGTGCTGTGCAAGTTCGAGACACTGCACCAGCCCCTCCTCCAGCCACTAGGTGTCGCCATAGCATACCCATTTTCTTCTCCTCTGCTGTGAACTCATCAGGAACCATCAGACTCTCCCCTACATCAAAGATCTGTGGAGGAAGCAGCCGTTTTTAGCCTGGACACATAAGTTACAGCATTGACAGGGAAACACCATGAGAAAATACCAGTCAAGCAAAAGAGAAAAACCCTTATTCAAGTGGGATTAGTGTCTCTATTACTTAAATTTTCCTCATATCCTATATATAAACTATCCTATTATTAAACTGGCAATTTTTTTCATTTGAACATTCCTTTGTTATTTTTTCAATAATTTAAAATTAATCAAAACGTCAACATGCCCATCACATACAATATGTACACAATTAAAAACAAGTGGAAATCACGTGATTTGCTTTGTGATTGTTGTGTTGCTACAGGATGGAGAGGAGGAGTGTGTACCGAGGAGTGTTTCCAATAAAGAATAATCTCAGGGATGTTATCAGCTGGATGCAGGAGGTGGTAGTCCCGCCACTCATTCCAGTCAATGGTCATTGTTCCATTTTTATCCATACTGCACATGCAAGAGAGAACACAGCGGACAGAGTATAAGAGATGTGATGCTTTTAGGAGGAAACACAAGCAGTTTGCTCACATGCACTGTTTATTCTCAGTAATTTAGACATTTGCCTCCATGGATTCAGATGCAGTTTGTTGTAGCAGGATGCTTTTCTTTAGCGATTTGTGCTAAACCTGTATCATTACAATTAAATGTTGCATTTTTACGTCACTGGAATACACTGAAGCTGAAAACTGATAGTCAGCACTCAGACATGCTGACTATGCATTGGTGATTTGTGCAGCGTTGGCTGAGCAAGCAGACTATAGAAGCTACTACTTACTACATAATAGGGGCCCAGATATGACCCCTCCTTATTCTGAGATCAGCCAGAGAAAAGGAGACAAAGACAGACACGGAGGAGGTTAGAGGAAACAGACATGATCACACTGAACCTTGACATAAAGCAGAAATTAGAAACATGAGTGGAGACGGGAGTGACAAACAGAACAATCACAGGACAATCTGACAGCAACACCACAACACTTTTCCTTTTCAAGACTTGATTAAAATTGGAATTAAAAATGACAAAGTTATGTTTGTGCTCACAATACCACCTACCTGGCTAAAGTGATACCTGTTTTTATTTTTAGCCATTGTGGAGGGCAAAAGTTGTACAGTCCATAAACCTCATGTGTGTTCTCCCTAGTAGTACTAAATGCATAAAATTAGGCTGTTATGAAAACACTGAATAAAACGTTGTACATTTACAGTTCAGTATTCAATATTGCATAAAATAAACTATTTACAAAGTTTCTTTGAATGACAGAGATGCAGAAATGTCTGCATGTGTCTAAATGAGTCTCAGAGGTCCGAATGTGCCCTTGAAGCCATTTATAATTCTTAACTTGTTTGATCTGCTGCTCACCACATAACCGCATAAGCAGAAATTTTGGACTTTACTGTATTTTCATAAGTTTTGCAGCTTTTCCTAGTGATTAAAAACCCCTTATGGCCATTCACACTACAGAAAGTAAGAGGCAATAAATAATTAATTTGTTGAAGCCCAACGCCACCGGTACTGGAGGTGAGAGGGAGAACATCTGCTTTATCGGGGTGTACCACCAGATCTGTTATTTAAATATAGACATGTGTGGTATCCACAGAAAAGTCAGAATCTCAGTTAAAAGCTCACAAAGCCATTTCAACAACCACCAAACAGCTAAAACAGCAAACAATTAAAGAGCAGGTAAACAAATTCCGCAAAAAGATGTAAACACAAAGCGTGGATCTTTCCGTTCACCCCATGGCACATACATGGACATGCCATCGGTTGCTGAAATGAAATTTCCCAGAAGGGTGGCTGGCCTCTCCCTTAGAGATAGAGTCCTCCATATTAAAAGGAGCCAGTCGAGGTGGTTCAGGCATCTGATAAGGATGCTTCCTGGATGCCTCATGGGTGATGTGTTCCAATAAGGTCTACAAAAGCAGTGTGTATTAGAGGTCTGCTTGCTGGTTTGTAGGTGACTGGTCTCTTGTTAATTTTTATTGTATTATGAGAGAGCGGTTTGGGAAAGTTATATAGTGATATATTAGCAACTGTAAACTGTGAGTAGTTCAAAGGACAGGAATGCATGAGTAGATAATACCAGAAGTATTGAAGGAAAAAAGTTTTGTTCAAAGTCCAATTGGATGTATGCCATTGTATCTGAATAACTGACTGCGTTCCCAGAAGAGATTGAAATTATCAGTAAAGGAGAGGCTGATGTCCCAGGTGTGCACTGACAGTAACCTCCTGAAATACCCAACACTGCAGGAATTGGACTGGACACAAAAATGTGCAGATCTCTGTCTGTACTTTTCTTGACAGAAATGAGATGCTTCAGATGTGATGATGAAAAGTTAAATTTCCATTTACTGACCCAGTTAATCCAAGACGTGCACGTGTCAAAGAGGCTAAAGAAACAGTGCCGCTAACTTTATTACCACAAATGTGACACCCCAAAAAAATGATGCTGCCTAACCATTTTGATAGATATGTGTTCAGTGGATGACAGCATTATCTAACCTTCTAAGAATCTTCTCTGCCTGTTCCTCAGAGATGTTCACTCCCAGGTCACGCAGAGACTGCATGATTTCTTGTGAGTCAATTCGACCTGCAACACAAGAAGTTATTAGCCATGGCTACTGCAACGATTTCTCACAGACATTAAAATCAATTCAAATTCATTCACAATCCTATGTCTTCTGCATTTCTTTAGGATTAAGATCAAGTCTAAAAGAAACCATCTGTTCCTATCAGTTATTCAAAAACAAGCATGGGCTCAGCACTCTGGTTTAAGAATCCAATACTTACGAACTATGACCACAGAAGGAACTGTTGGCACTGCTCAGAAAATGCTTCAAACTCTGCTTTAACTTTTAACTCAAGAATAGTTTCTTCCCAAAAGCCATAACCACCCTGAACTCACACATGTACTGACAACACAGTTCCACCCCCCAATCTAAGAACTTCCCTCTATACACAGACTACACAACTACCATTACAATTACATGCAATAACCCACACTGTAAACAGACAACACAATTAAATTCCCCCGATTTGTATATTTGATATTTTTTGAATACTGTTCATATGTATATGGCACTGCAGAACTGTGCACCTCGTCCCCTTTCGTTTCCCACATGTCTGCACTAAGTAGGAGATGCTCTGTATCTCATTGTACATGTGTATAGTGACAATAAAAGGCATTCTATTTCTAACAAACTGCCTTACCATCATTCTTCCTGTCCAAACTCTTGAAGACCAGTCGGAGTTTCTTCTCATGGTCTCTGAGATAATGGACAAATTCCTCAAAGTCTAACTGTCCATCCAGGTCTTTGTCTCCGGCTTTCACTATTTTCTGTGAACAAAGAGAAATCATTTAGATGCCAGCTCATTTAAGTAATGACACACTCTAATAGTATAGCATTATCTGTGTGGAAAGAGTGATTTGACAAACAGCAGTCGAGGTTAGGGTGTACAATCCCCTACCTCGTACCATCTGTGCTTTGTTGACTTGATTTGGAGTGTAGTGTATTTTACAACCACCACACATCTCAGGTTACTATATATTTAAGACTATCCAGGGTGCTTAGTGCTACCAAAGCTTGTCAGGTCAACTGAAAAGGTTGCAAGGAAACAGTTTTAACCAAAACACAATTAAATGCCATCTACTGTCAGGTAATGGGTACAAGAATGGATGACACCTCCTATTAGGAAAGGGGGTCAACCATCACACAAAAAGATATACTGAAACTGTCTACTTGAACCATCATGAAGTTTTAATATGCTAAGAATGAAGTGAAGTGAAACAACGAAATGAAGTTAGATTTTTTTTTTTAAATCAGCAAAAACATCTTGTTGAGATCATGCTATGACACAGAAGAGCAATTTGACCAGGGTATCTCCTTTTACTGAAAATTACATTATCATCAGAGATTTCGACATACTGAAATGAAACTTTATAGAGGACTATAAAAAAGAACTTATTATACCCTGACCTACAGAAAAAGGAAAAGAGACAATTTTTTTTATTTAAAGTGATATCCATATACTTATGGTGACAATTACAGTAGGCTAAATCATCAAGGTACTTCATATTGGAAAATAAAGGAAAAACTCCCTTTTAACAGGAACGAAAACCTCAGGGAGGGGAAGTCATCTGCTGTAACCGGTTGGAGGCAAGGGGAAGAAGAGGAGTCTAAAACCTGAAGGCTCTGCCTCCCATTCTACTTTTAAATATCCAAGGAACTACAAGTAAGCCAGCAGTCTGAGAACAAAGTGCTCTACTGGGGTGATATGGTAGTATGAGGTCTTTTAAGACAAGAAGTGGGAAATTAACAGCCCAATGGGGGTGTAATTCACCAGTGCTGGATGATGACGCAGCAACCATAATAGCTCCATCTGAGCTGAAAGCAATGGTAGGCCCTGTTAAAATATCACAAACCATCACAGAAAACCACACAAAGTGATGCTGCCTCTGTGAGGCAGATTTATGCGCCTCTTGCAGATAGCATCATTGTGTTCTGGTCCACAGACGGTACCCTTCATTAACAATGGTTCATATGGCCATCACACACCTGGTGAATAAGAATTCATATGTACACCTGCTCCTTCCTGGATTTCACTTTTGTTTTGACGAAATCTTCACTGTGCACTCTTGCTGCTATTCTTGTGTCAAAAGTCAGCTGTGACACTTGCCTCCACCCACTCCACCCTGCCTGCACTCCTATCTTCACTTTTCCATTGGCACTGTTGATTGGCAGAGGTCATTGTTACATATTAAACTTTCTAAACCAACTCCAGTCAATTGTGTTAATGATTTAATGCTTGAATGATTCATAGATATCCTGTCTTAGAGTGATGTTGAAAAACTAGTTCATGCATTTATTACTTCTAGGCTGGACCAGTGTAATTCATTATTATCCGGATGTCCTAAAAACTCCCTGAAGCCTTCAGTTAATCCAAAATGCTGCAGCAAGAGTACTGACATGGACTAGAAAGAGAGAGCATATTTCTCCTATATTGGCTTCCCTTCATTGGCTCCCTGTTAAATCCAGAATTGATTTCAAAAACCTGCTCCTCACATACAAGGTCTTGAATAATCAGGCCCCATCTTATCTTAATGACCTTATAGTACCATATCAGCCCATTAGAGCACTTCACTCTCGCACTGCAGGCTTACTTGTTGTTCCTAGAGTATTTACAAGTAGAATGATTTCAGGCCCCTCTTCTATGAAACCAGCTTCCAGTTTGGATTCGGGAAACAGACACTATCTCTACTTGTAAGATTAGGCTTAAAACTTTCCTTTTTGCTAAAGCATATAGTTAGGGTTGGATCAGGTGTCCCTGAATCCTGCCTTAGTTACGCTGCAATGGGGGATTCCCATGATGCACACTGATGTATTTCTTCTTCAGTCACCTGTTTCACTCACTGTGTGTTAATAGACCCCTCTGCATTGAATCATACTTACCGGAGGTTTTTTCCTGTTAAAAGGGAGTTGTTCCTTCCCACTGTTGCCAACATTTTTCTCTGTATGTATTATTGTAGGGTCTACCTTACAATAAAAAATTTTTTTTTAAAGATCATATAAGAATGACTTTATTTCTAAACTGCATCCATCTAACTGTACTTTTCTGCTATTGCAGACTCTGATACCTACTAGTGTATCAAGTAACAGACTATTACAATGCAAGAATTTCAATCATCAAAACTGAAGCACAGACCTCATGGTTGGTTTTTACCACAAAGAAGCATAATATTTGTCATAGTGATATAAGTTCTAAGTATAAATTTGTGATTCAAACAAATCCACCCTCATTATAGTTGTTTAGAAAGAAAAACTAACTAACACACACCCACACACACGCACACCAAAATCATGGTTGGTAGTCAGCCCAAGTGTTCTTAAGAGAAACTGCATTTTGGGGGACTACAGTGGGTTTATTTTTCAGTCTTGAAGGTCTCTATTTAATATTATTAGAAAGTTGAACAGTGAAGTAACTCTCACTAAGGGCTATACAGGTCTAGAAAACAGACCTTATTCTACCAGCTTTATCCTACCTGTTGAAGATCTGTAGGTGGTGCCATCATGATTAATACCATGGTCTTCTTTGGAGTAACATTATTCCTGCTGATTTCTTTACCATTAGAGGACTCTTTAGTGCTTTCCTGAAGACTTGCCTGTAGCTCTCTGCAGTTGTTTGCAGTCTCAGACTGTTTCTCTCCTGGCAGCTGGGTTTCAGCAGGCTTACATTGTGTCCTGCCAAAAAGTCTCTGGTATAGAAAGCTCAGTATGTCCAGCAGCATCCTCAAACTGGCTCTCCCACACTATTTGGGTGACTGCACTCAGACCAAAAGCAACGGCAACAGTATAGGTCTTGCAAAATGCAGAGAGGTGAACTAGTATTACAAGTGTGGAAAGGCTAGCTAAAGACAGCATGGGGCTGCAGAAAGGATTTCACTCACTTCTCAGACTCAGTGCCTCATATTCTAAGTGCATCTTTTTCCTTATTAAAATGTCCAGGCTCAGGATCACAGCATAAGCTACAGCAGTACAAAACCAAGTTCTCCCATCTAACTCTTACCACACTGCTTCTGAGGCGCAGTTACTTCACGGATCATCAAATCGTTAGATGCAGACAAAAAATCTTTTCTGTTGATGCTGATAATGCAATAGAATCAGTAACACACAGTGAGGATTTGCCACTGTGCTAGCTTCAGTATCATCAGCCAGGGAAATGCAGCAGTGAGAGCCTCCAAAACCTGCATCCTCACTGCAGCCCAGCCTGGCCAATCACTGCAGACCATACAAGCAGGTCTGACTGCTTCACCACAGAATGTGGGTCTCCGCCAATAGAGGACAGAGTAGCAGCACGGAAATGAAGCGATGTCACTGACTGTCAATGAACTTAGAGGGATAGGGTTGGCTAAACAGCAGGATTCCCTTCAGCTGCACCTCCCTCCCTGTAAAGAAAATCTGCTGAGTGACGGTTCCTTTTCCTCCCTCCCACACTAGCCTCCTGCACTTGCTCTGAGTCATTCTAAGAGCATTGTCAGCATCAAGCAAGCATTCTGAAGCATCCAAGGCAAACAGATTTTCATTCTCAGCACGTATATAGTTCCTCCTGCTTGGAGAGTTACAGTGTGGCAAAGCAGAGTAGTTCTATTTCTGCATTAAACGCTGCTTTCTTGCAACCGTTTCCTGGCTTACTACCTTACTGACCACACTGTCAACATGGCTCTCTAGACCAGAAAAGAAAAAATATCTCTATGCTTATAGAAGGATAAAACTGGCATTAATTTATAAGTATCTTAACATCAACCAATCAAACAAAATCACAGAAACGTGCATCGTCCCAGTCCACTGGTTACTATTGTAGAAATCTATGACAACAGTTCAAATACCTGTATATAGACAGAAACGAAAAGGTATTCATTTGAAATATTTTAACCTGTTATTTAATATGCTGAGTAATGGTACGTAGCTAGGTAGCACAACAGTCTATTAACTGCAGAGAGGAGCTCCATCACTACATTCAGGAACAGCAAAAGCAGATTAAATGAAAAGGAAAGAGCAGAAATGCTCCAAAATATCTCCTGACCAATAAAAGAGCTGTGTCTGTTGTTTGTAACTAATCAATGTTCAGGAGCCAGTTGTCATACAACAAAATGGGAAGATGTAGGATTACTACATCTTCCCATTTTGTTTGGAAAAAAGGTTTTGTTTTTGAAAGGTAGATGCAACTAGCTTGATTTCACCCACTGCTTGAGAACTCTGCATTTTGAAGCTTCAACTTTGAGCATGCATCAACACATCTGCTATTCATAAATGATGAAAATGTACTGTTTATAAGGTTGGGGAAATCTCCATTCACCTGAGACTGAATAAGTCACTTGGATGAGTAACGAAACATTTCTTCCACTGATCTAAGGATCTTGGAAAAGCGACTGGACTTCTTTAAGTTTCTTGAAGATGTTTCACCTCTATCTGAGAAGCTTCTTCAGTTCTAAGAGCAAATGGTGCATAGTCCCAGATTTTAAGCCCTATTGGGAGTGTCCCATAAGAGGGTTCCCACTGTTTCAATTCCTTGGAATTGTTTGCCATTTTTGCAAACGATTCCCTTATCGATTCCAGTCGCCTCGAATGACGTCACCAAGTTGTGGAGCATCATTTACCTGGCAGGAAACACGGCGCCTAAGCGCCTCAAACACTCAAAAGTTTGATTATACTTTACGAGAACGGATGACAAACAGGGCAACTTGCAATACTTGCAAAGTAGATATTTCATTTAAGGGAGGAAACACTACGAATATGCAAAAGCATTTGCTCACAAAACACGCGATAACCTTAAATGAAT